CTTTTCCCTGGGTTTTGTTTTGCCTCTCATTTCAACATTTTGATTTAATTCACCACCGGTTCTCTTTTTATACGGGAAAGTCCATCCGCCAGAGAGACGCAATGGCTACATAGTCATTATAGAGATGGAAACTGCCTATGGAGCAAATTATCTTGTTTAAACAATTTTGAGCTTCTTTGATGGTACCATGCTACGCAGCTATCAAAATGGATACCAATTTGAACTTGCTCCTGGCACTGACTAACATCACATGGGTCATGCGTGGGTGTTATTTTATCAACATAATTTAAAATAAACCAAAAGTGGAACAATAAAGACCCTGTAATTGTACGAATAAAAAGATGCCCCGAAAAGCAACCTCTAAACTAATCTAAACAACAAGTAGCACGTCGTCAGCACGCCATGATGAGCTTACTTTTAGAATTTCCCGCTTTTTCTCCTTGTCTCGTCTCTTATACACTAATAATTTTATAGTTTCATACGCTTTCAATATCTCGCCATGGGCTCCAGCATATTTTGCGCACTGCTTAGCACGAACTTCAATGATTTATTCAATAAATCCCTCCACCCACTGCATTATGCAACTCGCTAGTCTGCACAACTTCAAGGACACTTCTATTGGAATTGGATGCATTCATATAGATATTTCTAATAAAGTAGAAGACTATTTGAAGAATGAAAAATTTATAAAAATAAAAACGTATTTTCTATTTTCCATATAAAATTTATATATTATAAGTGCCATTGCTGTGGCCTTGTAGTTTAGCTGGTAGAGCATGCGCTGTATAAAAGGGTAGGCGGCGTTTATACGTGGGTTTGAATCCCAACAAGGTCACTGAAATTTTCACAATCTCAACATATTACCCTTTGTCGGAATCTTTGGGTGGCAATGCTGTCCGCCCTGATCTTGATCCATCTTTGTATTTCTTGTTCAGAAGAATCCATTGGAATGTCCGTAAATTTGGGGTTAGTCCGAATGCCGGCTAATCCTTTAATGCAAATCTCATTATAGTAACGTATCGAAAACAAATTTATTAAACAAACCACCGGAAGCTTGAATTTATCTATTTTTTCGGGGTAATTCATTGCACAGCCAATGTACTTTATTCCTCTACAATGGTAGAAATAATGAACGTAACAAGCTAGACTTACTAGCAATAGTGCCTTTGTCTAATACTACATCAAGCAACTTCTATGAACATNAACATAAGTTTAAAGTCATTTGTCGGAATGGATTCATTCTGAAGGGACTGGATACTGACAAAATGAACAGTACTTCTTTAAGGAAATAAACTACGAATGACATGTTCCTTAATTTATTCCACATGTGGTTCTAAACACCATGCTCATGAATACTTGCCTCAACACAGACAGGACAATTAAACTGTTTTATCCGTTTTCTTTTGATGCAGCAAAATATCTAACCAAATACGGATGGCCTTTTACGATCGCAAATTACGAAAGCAGAATGTCCAATTCCTCCTTAAATACTCGTAAATAATTTACTGACCAAATATTGGGAGGAAGCTCATTTCTTGGTAGCAAGTAGTTACATAATAAGAAATTAGACCTAAAATTGTTTTTAGCCAGGATGGTTTTTCTGCAGCTTAATACACCGTTCCCAAGCAGCACGAGTGCCTCGTTGAACGTACGTTGAGTACATCGCTGTGCATTCGTTTGGCGTCCCTTTTGAGTATACTATTTGAAACAAACGTATCACTCAAGGAACTGCAGAAAACGCGTATCCTATATTAGGCTATTTTCGTTCTCTAGATATTAAAAATGATTATTCTTCGCTGTAGCAGATAACAAATAGTATCCCGTTCACGTTTATATCCAGTTCAGTATAACTGTCGTAACGCATAAATCGTAACGAACGCCTTCATCTGTTTTAACCCATATATGGTGTAAACATTTGTTTACAATTTACTATCTATGAACTCGAGGGAATAGCGGATATTTTCATAGCACATTTGGAATTCTAAGCTCAACATTTAATGAAATTAGCTACATTATACAGAATATATCGATAATATTTTCATTAACACGGGCAATGAAAAACAAACCAAGAACATCTTCATATGCCTTAATTGACTTCATTTGAACATACAAAGCAGTATAAAAATTAAACAGAACCATAGCCTGAGTTACCTTGATATAGGTATCAGTCGAAAGCTAGATGGAACTATGTTACAGTCTATCCTCAAAGCGACCTGAATAGATCGATACGTCAGTTTTTGGCGTTCTGTGCCAATGGCATATAAAAGTGGTCTTTTCACGATATCACGTGAGACCGCCTATTGCTTAACACCATGACAGGAAATCGTTACCCGGAAGAGTTCGTTGACAGACACAGTAGACTAAAAAGTCCGTTGTTGCGTCAGCGTCCAGGTTAGAGGTCACTATTTGTCTTCCATTCAAATATGATCATGTAACTAATCTGTTCCATCAACCGCTGCGATAGGTTGCCAACCAAACTTATCACGCAGCCAAACCCAGAATTAAGCACAGGGGCATACTCGTTCCCTAGATTAAAAACATCTACATGTGTACGCCAAACTCAATTTATCAATTTGAAGGTAACGCTTACATTGGCAGAACAGAAAGTCAATTACGTAGTCGGGTTTTAGAACAGAGTTCAACACACGGCTGCCATGTCAAATTCCACACGGCCGATAACCGGTATGGACCGTGCTTGCAAAACACCGAACGCATCGATCGCCAAGCTCTTGTTGATGGCGCAACACCTCGTTGATCGCGGAAAAGCATTCCGAGTGATCGTTTTACTAATGATAACGCCAGAATGCTCAAGATCGTCAAAGGTCAACCGATGAAAACCAATTGTGTCAACAAAAGACTTGTTTATCACCCTGGGTTTACCTTGATGAACCTTCCCCCATTAAAATTTGGTAAGCCTCTCATATTCCTAGATAAACATTGTATTTGTCTGCAGTAGGCACCACCATGCAGCGGAATCTTTCACAAAATAAATCATGCGATTTTCTCTACGCTGAATTCTCTTTTCAAATTTAAAACCGGAAAAGCTTGTTTAAGTTTCTTGAAATTCCGTCTCCTGAATTCGAATGCCCGGACCTTGGATGAGTGGGTTTAGTTAAAACGCAAAACCCGTGTCATTTTTACCCGGATTGGTTTCTTAATGCAATGATTTTAAATCAATAAATATCCCATTGCAATCTGCCAACGATTGCAATCCAATGAACTTTGTGGATCCCAGAGAAAATTGTGACGTTTGACTTAAAGCAAATTTGATGACGCAAGAGAACGATTGCTGGTTCTGCAGATTGTTTCGAAAGAAAGGACGATAACTTTGGATGCCTTGGATCTACTGTGTTGCACGAAGTTCACAAACTACCTGCATGACACAAGCTGAAAGATAGAAGACTTGTTGAAACAAAAGCTGCAGAAGTCATTGAAACATTACATGATTGAGTCTCGTTTCCCACCCAAACCGGATAAAAGTAAAAAATATATCTAACCTTTAATTAAATCGAATTCAAATGGAAGCTCTCACTCTTGGTATTCCGTTTTGTATAGCAACAAGAAATATCGAAAACTTTGAAACACAATCATAATCGGAAAACTTTTACTAGCAATTGAAATCATTGACCCTGTCATCAATAGACGGAGAATACTGGATAAAAGCTAAGCTGGTGGATTTAGAACCATAACATAGAACGAAGTTGCCTGCACAAAACAACATTCGGTCGGATTGAAAAAAACTTCAGTCCGGGAAGGATCTCAATATTCTACACCCTGATAAAGAATCTAGTAATGTTACTTGACCGAACAAGTTATGTGCGCAAACTGAAACTTATTCTGAGGGATTCCACGAATTTTCTGTCTGGACCACCGTCCAATGATCAAAAAGATTATTATTTTATTGTTTTGTTTGGTTATTATTTGCGATCGGTTTTATAAGTCACTTTCTACAAAATAGAATTATTTATGACGAGAAACACACCGTATAGAGTCAGGTTTTATCGATGGCTGTTTAAAATAGTTTGGTCTGTAATGATTTTGAGGTGATAAATGAGCGGGAAATGAGAGCTGAGCTTCTCTGATTCTTGGCTACTCGAATAAATACAATTTCTTCGAAGATGAGAGATCCTAAGCAGTTAAGTTGCGGATTGTAAATGGTAACTAGTTTGGCTATTCGGGTCCAGTTGTGGAATTTTAATCCGGTTGGTAGGTGCCTAGCTGGGCAGATAGTTTGGCGTGAAATTACAACTACACGCAATGATTAAAGTGTTATCTGAAGCAACAAGCAGAATTTGATCTGCAATCAGCCCAATGCTCAGTTGATTTTAATCCATTTGAACCAGCTGAACCCATTTACTCAATGAGAGGAACTTAAAGAACACATGGCTGGACATAATATGCGAACTTCAAATCCAAGCGCAAGGTGAGGTAGGGGTGTTACCGGGGACAACACCATCGGTGATAAGGGATTTGCATAGAGGAGAACAGAATTTTAAGTGAATCTTTAAAACATTTTTGCTTCTTATTATTGGATACTCAATTGTACAACTTTCAGGAAGGGGGTAAGTTTCTGCCTGGGGTACACGTAGCATCGAAAATTAACCCGATCAGTCCAGTCGGCGAAGTTTAAACGAAGCGTCTTTTTGTGTTGCAGCTCATCTGATAAGTTCTACCACAGTGACCGATGGAAATATCACGGAGGACGAACCCGGAGGCAGTAAAGGCTCATGCAATGTTCTGTCTTCCTCTTTGTACATTGTCCGTTCTCTCACTATGGCAATCAGTATTACCCTCTTATTACCCATTACAGGCCACACTTACAACTTGAAGATCATTTGTGCGAAAACCTGACGAATGGATGCCCAAACAACTGATAGTCTGCAAAATATTTTGCGATTCTCTGCTGACGTGCATCAACAGTTATGCCCTCAAGAGCTACCTTTCAAGGATGTTGATTTCGGAAATGTGTATGCGTACATTGAAAGACATCACCGTTTAAAATGTTTGGCACCTGCAAGTACTTCGAGGACAGGTAGGTGCCCTCGATTAGCAAACCTTAGCACTGGTCGGTCGTCATATGGCTTGCCTTTCAATCGAAAACCAAGATGGAACTTACCCTTGGCTGTGAAAGAAATTAAAGTGAGCTTTCCATAGCATTTGGTTATCACATGGCTGAACATACTCGTTTCAAATAGTTGATTTTTTTAACAAATGGCTCACTTGATTACTTGTGACAAAAATTGTGTATACAGGTAACAAAAAAAAACGATCTGTTCGGCTGCCCAGCATCTAAGTGGGTACCATTCCTGAGTTCTGTCTGTGAGGTCCAGGATTCGATCCTCAGTAGGAACAATGGATTCTCACTGCTGATGAGATCCAACCTGATCTAAACAGCTGTCCAGTGCTTCCCAACTTTTCTGCCTGCAGTGGGCTAGAAAAGATGATTTATGCTTCATCGCGTATGAGGAAAACGACATTCGGTTTGATCAGCTGCCTGGCGGCCGAGCGGGTAGTACGCTTGCGATCCGCCTGTGAGATATCGGGTTCCATCCTTGGTCCGGTCGATGGATTTGCACTGCTGATGAGACTCAGACAGGTCGGAACAGCTGTCCAATGCTATTTGCACGAAGAACTTCACCATATGATATTATAACGCTAATAGCTCATTGTCAAGCTTTATTAGCTACCCAATCAGTAGGGCCTACGGCATAGACCTACTGGCAGTTCAGTTTACTTCAGGCCCAAGAGATCACTCCTTAAAAACCGTCCATTCAGTTGTGAGCATTACAGAGGATTTTATTGACTTTCAACACTTGTAATTGTAATTATCTGAGAAGCACAGTTCTGTAGGGCAGAATCCATCCAGCACACAAAGGTTTGTCGCCTGTCACTCGTCTCAATCGTTCATTCATGGGTTGCTACTGATTTATGCGCCAAACTACTCCTCCAAGTCATCACTCTGTTAGTAAAGATGTGATTCCCTTCAATGTGTCTCAAGTGAGCGAAGTCCATTCTAAAAATATGCTTCTTCTGTTTACATACCATAACCATTCGGTATATCAATTATCTTCAGATCAGTTCTCTCTTCATTCTCCTCCGAGCTTGTAGAAAGATAATCAATTATCTAAGTCCGTGCCTACAACATTTGTCCATCTACCGTGCTGTCGTTTATTTTGGTGCTATAGCATTCCGTCTTTCCCACACAACGGTATTTTAGGCGAGACCTGGTAAAATGGATGGCTCTTATAGCTTTCTACAGATGAGGATGGCACAGTCGAAAGAGTTACCCTGGTTTTGCTTGAATTTCTCACGCTTTATAGCCTTGAATCCTTTTTAATGAATAACCTTAGACTCTTTCGAGTGGTGCATTCTGCAACGGTAGCTATCCAGCCCAGAGTGCACTGTATTTGTAGTTAATAGTTGGGCCTTCGGGTTTTAGTGATAGATTTCTTTTCTTTGACTATCCTTTGTTGGTTTGTTGGTTTGTTTCTACATAGTGCTTCAAGTTTATGCCCACCTCTTTATAACTACGCACAACCACAAACCAGCGAATTTTGAGTTACTGTTTAAGGTTTGGGATGTTAATAAGAAACACTACTGGTAATAGTGTTATAAATTCACAAAACAGCGCCGGGACAAGGATAGCCATTTATTTGAAGAACGGCATCGAATAGGGTAAATAAAGTTACATAAATTGAAACATCTAGTTTACAAACAATTGGTTAGTATTTTTCTGATCGGTGATTTTCAGCCTGATGGTCTGCTTGTCTGTTCCGTAGTTATAAAATTAACTCCTTCAATCCACTTGTGAGAGTCCAACAATGGTTTCTTGGTGTGCGCAAACTACTCACTAATGTGAGTAGTACCTCAAAACATTAATAATGTATTTTGTAACACCCCATTGGCAACCTTTTCAGAGTCGTTTATGAAATCACTAACTTTAAAATTGACTAATTTATAATCGGGAACTTAAATAGTCTTATCCTGCACTTCTCTTTGTACACCCTATTTTATACAGTTAGCGCTCAAACGGTCTGTGGTTAACTGATTAATGGAACTTACAGAATTCCAGGTAGCAGACTTACACTTACGAACCATTATCTAGTCGTCTTGTGAATATACATAGTACATTCTTCCTGCAGAAAATTTTCTCGAAGAGTCCACGCTGGACTGATGTCAACCACTAGTGGGTAATTTGTTTTGGGCTGGTCGTTCTCCCTCTCAAGTTCGATATTATTCTCGGCCGCAGGGATTCCTATCGCTATCGAGTTTTTCAACCTTTTGCTTTGGATAAATAAACAAATGTATTCTTTCATAAAGTGTCACCTTTTGATGTTTGAGCCGCATCCACTCTCTGGTATTACCCATCTTAGTTACTGGTAGCTCATAATCTTGTCTGTTACCTTCGCATTGTGAGGCAACTTCTTGCTCTATCGGTTGGTACTGGTTAGAGAAAGCTGGACAAATCCTTAGACTAGTCTTTACTTCTTGCAACTTCCTTTTGTCTATACTTCCCTCGGTCGATTTAAAGAAACTCTGTCTCTCGTGGGAGAGTTTTGTCGCCTTGCATGTTTGTGTATAACATGTTTAAGTAACACGTGCAGTATTTGTATCGATTATGGACACATTGGAACTAAGTTTTTAAACTTTTCTGTACTGCATCCTTGGTATCAGTTTAAACACATGAAAATTACCAATGCAGATTTATTCAGTGTTTAAAACCGAGAACGGGTGCCAACTTCTGGAGAAGAAAAATGTATTATGATATATTATTCTAGACAACTGAGTTATAAGTATTGAAAATCGGTTTACGTAGCTCGGGTGAACTGAATTCTATTTCGCCTGTTCGCCGAGTTTGGCAATTTGTCTGCAAACGTTTCACCACGAACCGAGGTGACATCATCAGTGCTTCACCTATTTTGTGTGGAAATCCGTTGTTTGACTCATCGGTTCTACTTTTAACATTTTCCCCTATCTAGTTTCATCGGACACTACTCAGCTAATGTTGGATGGTATTCGTGCATGTTCGTCATTTCAATTCTTGCAGATATCACAGATTACGTTCTCAGTTCGGCTATCAGTCTTGTGAGGGTTATGCTGAACAAATTTTATCAAGGCCTCTCAGTTGGCGTTGAATTTATAAAAATCAAATTTAAATGCTGAAAACAACAGACTGACAATTTTGAAAATAGCACGATTGTGTATCAAGCTTGTATTAACCCACTGGATTGTTCAGAGACAACAGGCACTCTTGATGGTTCTCGGTGTGGGTTTTACTCCTTGGGAGTTCGTTAATTCCCCACTGTTTGTATGCATTCAAATGCGATGGAAATGTTTGTGAACAATCGAATAGGCTAATCCAAGCTTGATACGCTAAATTGATTAAGCCATTCGCATAAGGTGATAACCGTCGGCCGTGTAGCTTGAATTCCCGACCCGACTGATCGCGGTTCGAGTCCTGACAGGGACACAAAAAGTACGCACTGCTGACGAGTCCCAAACAGGATGAAACAGCTGTCCAGTGATCTTTGTTGGTTATCAGAAACATTTCCATCGCATTTAAATGGCGTGATTGTGCTTTCGAGAAAATACAAAATCAAACGCAACCCTCATTCTCTGTCACAAACAAAATGCTCGCCTTACACCTGATCAACAATGAAATTCTTTATCCCACCAAAATGATGTTGATCTATTTTATACCACTGAAAAACGATAACAGAATGTAAATTATGATGGTATTTTTTACAACCAATTTTATTTTGTTCAAAAGAGCCCTGGGCAACTTACGAACTTCCAAAAGATCTCCAAATCAGGCTTCTCGAGGTAAGTTATCACTTGAAAGTTGTTGATTGATTTCGTCATAGATTCAACCTGATTTTTGATGAGAGTTATTAACTGATGAAATGGGAGAGAATATAATTCCCGTTTCGTGTTGTTCTCATCTAAATGATTAAGTCACTGGAGCATTGAGCTGCAAAGCCTGCCTAGATTGTCCATCAGTAGTATACTTAAACACGTTTTATATAACCTAACGTTTCGGAATTGATCGAATTGGAATATGTATTGGTTTAGTGTCATCACCTGTGAACAATCATATCAACATCATTAATTACGTTCAAATTGTCATTACTTTTGACAAAATAACTATGGTTGATAACAGTTGATATTTGCTGTGAAGATGAAATAAATGAATGTACTGCTCATCAAACGAACAGGAAAATGTTTTGGTCGACTGATAGCTATCTTGTTCTGACTATTGTTTTCAATTTTACTAGCAGGTGAAACAAAGCGTCCTGGAATAATTCACCCCTGGATAAACTGACTTTACCCATTGCACTGAATTAATCGTACTAATTTCAGTACACCTAGATGAAGAACAATTTTAAAAAATCAAAATGTAACCCACATGTAGAGCAATTAAGACGAACTACCTGTAATAAAATATAGGAAGAAACATTCATACTATATGTATGCTAATGAGTATATGCATTCAAGATAGTGTTGATTGTGATCATGGAAGCGAGACCAAAAGTCAATAATGTTTGTGAAAATGAATCAGTTGCAACTAACAAATAAAAGAGCGTTGTGTTTTGCGTAAACTCGAAACTGCAAATAAACTTTTACAATGATTCACTATATATTGGTACTCTTTATTGTTTTTGACTGTTTCAGATGTCAGACAGAAGATCAGCTTTCCGTGGCAATTGATAACTCTAAAAAGCAGAATTCTTCACTTTTTAAAGAATATTATGGTAAGAAATCGAGTTTTGGTTCACCTGGAGGTAATCACTTTCAAGTGAAGGAAGAATATTAGGACTTTTTAAAAGCTACACATGTCCAAAACGGTTCAACTTACAGTATCAACCGGTGTGAACAATAAACCATCCTGCTTTATTGTTCATTAAATTGAAATTTTTTAGACAAAATGGATAAAACACAGGATAAAGTTCACTCACAACGTACAGTCATTATTCTTCCGAAAAGGATGTTACGGCATCTTTTAAATCAACCAGTATGAGAGGTAAGCTTGACGCTTGAAGAACAGTCTTTGAACCTGCATTTGTTTCAGTAAATTGTTTAGCACTCTCAGTTCGGCTGATTTCCCATGAAATCTTTCGTTTGATGTTCTTTGTTTTGGTGAAATTTTACCTAGTTCAGAATAATGTCCTTTTCTGTAGCACATCATTATGCGAGTACTCGGCAAATGAAACTGACAAAATATACTAACAAAAGTAATCATCAACCATTCTAAGCTGTTATTGGACTAGATTTTGCTCCAAATAACGATATCTGGTGCACACCTTAGGTTTTATAGAACCGCACAGTTAAACATTAGCTCCTGTCAACTGTAAGACGTAGGGTTTTCATGTTCCAGTAAAATGGTGAAGCTATGCGATATAACGGACTCCTCTTTGTCACTGGCATAAAAGCTACCTTGTTCATGGAATACATTGATGCTCTCATTTTTTTGTGGGGCTGTATTTTACGCTGGATAATGATGTATATAGCATAATATGCTATGGACTAGAATGGGATCTGTCCTCGGTAGACATTTTAAACTGAAGTTGCAGGTGAAGGAAATGAGACACAGCACAGGATCAACTGGATAGTTATTTATATAGAGAATGTTTGGATTAGCCCATTCGGTACCACAGGTACCAGGCGCTGCGGATGATCTTCGGTTTGGGTTTCACCCCTTAGGAGCCCGTTAATTCCCCACCACTTAAACGCATTGAAATGCGATCGGAGGGGTAAAGGCTAAGGGTTTGAAGTCTCGACCAGAATGCTTACGGTTCGAATCTTGAGAGGGACGCAAAGGTACGCACTACTGACCAATCTCAAGCAGGATGAAACAGCTGTCCAGTGATTTCTACTGGTTATCCGGAACATTTCCGTTGATAGTTATTGTTAATAATAATAGGTATTATGGCTAATATTCAGTCAAACCGTCTACGGTGACTAGATTAGTGGTCATTTAACTCTGGACGATATCCCTGTTAAATCATCCAGCTTCATTTGGGCAGATATTTTGGAAAATGGAATTAACGCCAACGAGGAATGCGACCGCAGTTCACATTTTTGGTGGAGTCCAAATGTGAAGTATTCTTCGTGACCCAATCGATTATTGTTTTTGAAAATATCTCCTGATTTCCGTATAACAAACATAAATAACGTCAGAAATTCTATGAGCACGGGATCCTATCAAGGAGAAATCAGTGTAAGAGTTCAAATCACGTGTCGTTTGCTAGTTAATGATTTACGAAAAATCTGCTTAAGGTTTCAATAATTTATTCAGCTGCTGGTGTTCATAATGCTAGACCTTTTGCATAATCTCACTCAATAGGTAAATGCCCAACTCATTTGCGGGATGCAGGAGAACTCGATATATAAGAATAATTGATGTTGTTCTACTGCGATTTTGGGGTTCATATATGCATCTCTTTAGGAGAAGCGATAGTGATCATAATACCATCCCCGCCTCCAAAATGAGGATCACATTCTGTTCTATTAATATAGTGAAAGGGAAGAAAGGTGTAATCAGCCATGGGGACCGTTCATCGAGTTTTGTCAAAGTTATTGGCTTATAAGTGACAGCTGGTTTTCAGTGTGATTTGGTGCACGCGGAGAGGTTTGCAGGCATTTTCAAAAATTTAGCACTTATAATCATTTCAGAACGGATAAAAAACGGGAGCGTGCTTCTGTGACCATTAGGCGAGGACAGTTTCTCAGTTTACATTTAACTCAGTTACTTGTGAGTAGTAGTTTAGAATGATTGCTAGTGATTTGAACTGAAAGTTCTTCATATTTCACCTTCACGTGTAATTCTCGGTTCTTCCAGTCAGCCGTACCACTCGGAAGCACCAACCTCAAGTTTGCTCCTACTAAACTCCATCAGTAGTGCATATCCACCTGACTTTGAACTACCGACTCTTCGCATGGAAGTCGTCTGTATTGCCACTGTGCCAACCGGTTATATCAATAAATAATACTACTCATGAAAGCGTTTTGCAAATTAATTATCGAATGATCTGGTTTTATAGTTGCTTGTGTGCACTGTAAACACTGACAAATTGGGAGATGGATTCATTGTTTTATGAAACTACGACTTATCCGTGAATAGAATGTGAGCTATTGTGTACGGTGATACCTAGCAATCCTACTTAACACTGGATCCAGTCAAGTAGCGAGACATTCCCTGGTTATGATCTTAGTAGTGATACTAATAGTGTTCTTTTGCTTTCTTTCAATTTCATATAACGTGAAGATATGATGGACATCTACGGTCAATACAAAACCATTAAACATTNTTAAACATTGAATGGGAACGTAGGGTGACGGTGTCGGAGTTTGATCATAAGAAACTTTGGGCTAGTGGTAAATACGGTAAGATCATCATCATCAATCAATTGATGAGATTACAAGAAAGAAGAATACAAAGCATTTCCCCTGAAAACAAAAATATGAAAGCAAGAAAGTTGGAAATGAAATCTCTGTGTTGTTTTCTCCCTACCACTTCAGTTTAATTTCAGTTCAGTTTTTAAAAACATTAACCATTGATCTTTGTCCCTCGGTCTTGTTTGCTGCCCTTGGGTTGTTCGCACTACTTCCGCCACTCAGAAACCATCGGTGTCATTCAGTACTGAAAACCAGTATTTTACTAAATGTATTACAAAATCATTCATTACTGCGATGAACAAAAATACGTTTATTGTGTGATAAATATATTAGCAATAAATCATTTCACGAAAAGTAAGTTAAACGTTTCTCGTATTCCACACTCATTTATTTGCCAATTCAGAAGTGAATATTCTACCCCAAGTCATAAAAGAACATGATACTACCAATCTTCTGCACAAGAAAACAAAACACCCCACAAACGGAGCCAAATTAAAGGAAACAGTAAGGGAGAACTTGCAGTCAGAGATTATCTGGACGGAACAGATGTCAAATACGGGGAAAAACAATGATATTTCAATTTCGGATTCAGTGCCATACAAACAGTTGGTGAGTTCAAGCTTATCTGATTGTATGCCTAATCAATAATTCTGTAATAAATTAGTAGTACTTGGAATTATTGAATTGATTAAGCTTGAAGTTTATTATGATACGTTGATGGTTGAATACAACGAGTAATGATGCGTAGCAATCGGACCCGGTTCATTTTTTGATCTCTTGAGTCGTTGACCAGTTTGGTTGCTATCCACTGTGCTGTGAACCATTTCATCGCTTCACAGTCGACCCCCATTATCAGATCAGATCTGCGCTAATGCGGAAACTGAAATGTGAATATGGGAGACAAACGCACTTTGAATTGCAGAATGAATGAATACGAAGCATGTTTTTACAGTGATTTTGCGAAAATAGCCTCATAACTACTTTCAAGGCATTTTAACTGACTATAGTTCGGATTTCATTCCTCCGCACACACAATCTCCCACGCATGCAGTGAACCTTCGGTTTCAAAAGAACCAAAACTAGAGTTCTGGACTGATGAGGAATGAGGAATGCAAACACCGTTCGAGTCGGTTCATAGAGGAACTTCTACCCAAAACCTCGCAAAGACCTGCTTCGATGATAAAATTTCGATTTAGTTTGTAGACAATCGAGTACATCCTTATTCCTCGCTGTTGGACCCACAGTGATTGAGTGTCACGAAAGAAGACTTGAATCTATAATTCTGTTCAACCCTACTGTGAGCCAGTTGGCATAGAAATAGCACCTACAAGCTTTCCATGCGATGGTTTCAAGGATCAAATCCTGAACGACCCGAATAACCCTAACGAGGGTAAAAAGAGCGCTGCTCGAATGAACGGTTGACTGATTGAAATGGTTTTCTGTCTGAATACAAATTCTGAAGAGTGGTCACTAAAATTTCAATAAACTTTCCAAATTTTGGTTCATTTTATATCACAGGGAACATGCTTTGAATGGGCATATCGTTGTCTGGCTATCAGTTGCAGAGCTATTTTAGTTAGGATTTACATACTGCTAAGTTACATCATTTTAATGAAAAGTACTTCATCTCCGTTTCAAATATAGATATTATATTGATTAGGGTATTAATTGTTGGGTGACTTGAAGCAGGTGTGATGGTATTACGAACAATAAAGAGCTCTTTTAATGTAGTAATATAAAATGTTATACTGATATCTGAAGTTTTATCTATTTATCAAGCTGTGATTTCAAACGTCGCAGACGACTATGAGCCTCAAAGTACCCATCGGACCCAGTTTTTTATTCAGCTGGCTGTTGAAAAAATCACACTGTTTTCTTTTAACCTCAGAATTCGGGTGGAGAGCCGATAGTGGCGACCGAAATATCCACGTGTCTGAGACCAATGAACAAACTGGAATTACGCAATAAACTTACTCTCTTAGGTAAGTTATCTAGAGCCATTGATAGAGCTGTGATCTCAAAAGCTGTCACACTAATATTTAGTTGATAATTATAATTGATAGTCATAATAAGGTTCAGCTTTTTCAAAAGTATAAACAGATCGCTCTGGCATTAAAGGGTAGCTTCTTCGTTATTTTGCCACACCTTGTTTATGTTCCAACAGGGAAGATGCAAAGCAAATAGAAGCACTATAGCAATGGCGAAACTGAAATATTACTTTTGTCTTAATTTTAGTGGAACCTGTTTCATTGCATATTTCGTGAGAAGCCCAATAGTCTACATTTGGATTTGTTAATGGACAACATGGCAATGATTCAGCTAACAACCGGGTGTTGATAAGCACGCGGTATACGTCATCAAATTATTACCTCGGAGGATGTGTTCGAGTCCCACTATCACCACCACCACCACCATCTCACTTTAATCTTTTGTCTGCATCATATATCGTTTATACATATACATCGTATATCCAATGAAAAGGAATTAAAGGAATAACATTCCATGAGCTTTTCACGGTCATGTCGAATAAACTGACGTCAGATATTCTTTTGTTAGTCGTGTTCCCGTGGTAACCTCTTCGATACCGAAGTAGTGGCACCCATCAACGTGAGCATTTAGAGTTCAGGGGTTTGCAAAGTATCATAGAAATGAACGGTTGACGATTTGCATCTAGCCAGATGAAATCTTCACGAACAACGTGACGCGTTCAAAGTAAATGATGAATAACTTCCTGATGTTAGTGGAACTAAATGTCTTCGGAAATCAGTACTTTCGATGAGTTCCTAGGAGCATTCAGATTCACCAGCTGTTCGCTGTGCACACTACTTTAACCTCGAAAGAATGTTTTATTCAGAATCTAAGCAAAATAATCTGCTCATGTTTTGTGATGCATATAACACTAGTCACATATAACACATCAGTTACGCATCCGTTGGCACTGTATGGATGCGAAGGGGCAGACCACGAGCAAATTGATCGCTTTATTGATAATTTGTCACAAGAACCGAAATATAGGTACACAAGCAAACTTTGGGGTCATTTGAGAGGTGTGAGTGGTGTAAACAATGAGCATAGACAATAGCAACTCGCTTGACAAAGGTCAGTTAATGCTTTTGGATCCATTGAAGAACGATCGATCAAACATCTGGTGGTCTTGCGGGTTTAAAGTTTGTTTATACGTTGTTAACTAAATTGCATCACCAAGAGAGACGACAAAAGTAACTCCATGATCTGTTGGAGATCTTATGCTGTGAATTTCAACAAAATTATCAATTCAGAGTATCTGGTTGGTTATTTATTTTACTCCACTTTTTCATGTTTACTTACGTTTTTGAATGATGCAGTTTTCAGGAGGGGGAAGCGACCAATCAAAGGGTTGTCATTCAACGCAAAATGTCGAACCGGAAACAACGTCTGTTGGACTCGAACACACATCCTCTGGGGTGACCATTTGATCTTTGTCATCGGAGCACCACCGCCCGAGAAACCGCACAAATAAACGCTGTATTGGTTCTAGTGGTAACAATAATTAAGTCTCGGGAGCTTTAACTAGATTTTATTCCATCAAGTGGAACACAATATACATAAAGGAGATGAAGCTAATTGTAATTATTGAAGAAATTAGCTGTCTTTGCCATGACAAACGAAAAAAACAAAACACAAAGACGCTCAAGTTTTTCAGTGAGATCCGTTCCATCCAAGGATCTCGGGTGACTTATTGTCAGTTCAGTTCAGTTCTTACAATCATTAACCATGCACTTTCGTGCACCGGTTTTGGTTGCTGTCCAACTGTGATTAGTTCCAAACTATTTAAAGCCGATTGAAAGTAGATTTCATACAGGTGTGACTTGAAGTTGCATCAATGATGCTTGAAACATGTCAGTGATCATTAAAGATTTCCGTTTTCACAGGCAATAGACGTGTCCATCTGTCGTTCATTTTGGGTGGCTTTCTTAAACAAAACTTGTCTGAACATTCAGTAGCGAGAAAATTAGGAGTTGACCACATCCGAAAGACAACAACACGCTATACGAAGCAAACGGAATCAGTCATACAGATCACTTGAGATCTCTCAGTTGTGATCTCTGGGATCAGGCTAACGTATTACCGGAGATAAACGTGAGTCTGTTCGAGTGATGAATTTTGACATTTACTCAGTTAAAATCGAACCTAATCATGCAAAGATATTTGCAATTGAATCGCGCATATGAGTAGTGGAGAGGGTTAATTATTACTGAAATAGTTTGAATATCTTTTAGAATTAACTCTGACACTCAAACTCTTCAGCTCGTCCGGACAACCCATTTTAATTACAAACCACTGTAAGACGAACAGCAGACCAGGCGAACCCCGAAGATTTGCTGTTCGGTGATTTTAACGGAAATTCTAAGCCACGGGACTTGGAGTGGCGAAAAACATAAGGTCCCTGCTAGGTCAGGCGTGGTATTGAACCGGACGACAGTAAAGCTGCCTATCACCAAAGTTGGGTGGCAGTGGACCACAAGATTCAAAACACTTCGCTGACAGCAACTAAACCACTGCGCTTAAACCACCACCACCACCACTCAAGGAAGCCTATGACTAAAGTTTCACTCTTGTTAGAGCCCAGCAGTAGTGTATATCCGGCAACCCAACGCAATTTGAAATTGGAGCTGCCGTAATCAAGAAACTCCGCAACTGACCCGAATCGACCATTTGTGTGTTCAACCATCAGTTTTGATAATATCTGTATTTTTGTAACCTACAGATTGCACAAGGACAAATAGGCTTGCCTGGAACAGATCACACAGAGTCGAATCAGTAAAGTATGCTTTGTAGAATACAGTGTTGTTTACTTCTCCTCAAGTCTCGTCGAGCAAGCTTCCCTGAAATATCAAGCGTCCTAGACCAGCCACGAAGGAACACCAATATTCAGCTAGAGAGAGCCTGGTTTAGTGAAACTTTGTGAGGTAAAAACAACTTAAGTGTGGGTAGTTCGCAACTGGTTATGGAAAATCTGGAGTTTGGTTTCACTAAAGCTTAGTTTTGTTTTGACAGTTTTGGAGTGCATTCAACAACAACGAATGAAGGTAAAGTAAAGTCTCTGTTGAGTCAGTTCGAAAGTCTACCACTAATTCCGGTACTCCTGATTTCTTATGAGAACAAACAGGAACGAAGTTCGGGTCTGGTGCATAGCAAATACATGATCGTCCAGATGAACTAAGTATTGTGCGTGAGCATAAAATATGAAAGTTGGTTAGTAAATCAGTTTCAGTTTCAGTTTTTATATCCATTAACCATGCACCTTCGTGCGCCGGTTTTGTTTACTATCTTTTGGCTGCTAAATTAGATGAACAGCAGAAAAAAGACAGGAAAGTTGAAAGTAGAACCGAAGAGAAAATAGAGAATTTCAGCGGACTAATCCTGTAAAGAAATTGAGATGCACGAATACCACTGTTTACGACACTCAACCGTATCACACAGTGTTTCTAACCACCGGTTACGATCATCCCAGATACCCATCCAGGGAGCCTAACCTATGTGACCGGGTCTCTTGGTTAGGGATTTTATACCTTCGTGCCAGGTCTTAGTTTGATCACCTTTAACCTTTTCCTACAGTCTATACCAATAAACGAAAATGTCATTCAGGAGATCTCAGTTGCTAATCGCAGTGTGACAGCCGAGTGAGTGCGCTTAGTTCTACACTTTACTTTTCTAGTCAACGAATCTTTGTGTTCTTTCTCGTCTGACCCATGAAGTTAACACTGGGAGCTTGCTTTTGTGGGAATGAGAAGTGAAAGGATGTCCCCTTATCAGATCTTTGCAAAATACAGACTCCTGTGGCGGCTCAGTAAATGAAGTCTTAGGGAAAGAACAGCCACATTTCTAGCTTGAACGAAAGAAATAAGGTGAGCGGTGGGCGGAGAAACATGCGTATTTCGGATGAACGAAGTGAACTTTAAAAACACCAGCTAAGTACATAGACACCGATATGGTATTCTTAATGGCTGAATACCTTTAAAATTTCGAATTTTCATATTCAGATGTCAAGACGTTTAATCGATTGAATTCTCAAGTGATTCTTATACTTCGGTCTTCTTTGAAGTTGTTTCTGCCTACATTAAGCGTTTTGCACTTTGCAACTTTTCTTGCGATATCCTATTTAATAAAATTAAATACCCCAAAACAGAACAAAAAACCGAATCTCAATGAGTTTAAATTATCTTGAGAAAGGAATTGATCGGAAGCAGTCATGTAGAAAGCAATAAACCTCACTTTTTCTTACTGTTTCCAATTATCCCTTGTTGCTATCACCCACTTATTTGGTCGTCAGTTCATGGCATCTTCATTTTCGATTTCTTTGATTCCGTTTTGACAAAGTCTTGCGTTGGGCGGCGGCTTCGGGCATATATGTGGAAAAATTGAAACGGTATACCTTTAGTGATAGTCAAAGAAGGCTGGAGAGTACAAAGGAAGAAGAAAGATTGCGTGCGATTATTGGTCTTCTAATGCACCTACAGTATATTGAAAATTATGTTGAAGGTAAGCTCACGGGTTCATCGAACATTTTTAAAATTTGTAACGTTCAATAAAACTAGTGAAGAGTGTTCTCCCTGCTTTATACTTGCTTTCATCAAAGTGGGAAAAGAGCATGAATTATTCTCAAGCAACTTGGGTCAACAAATGTGATTCACTGAACCATAACCAGTTGAACTAAATAAATGCGCATAATCATGTTTTGTTACTAATGAGTAGTAACTAACCAAATATATATAATTTCAACGTCATTTGTGTAATAAATATGATGAATATTGTGTGGCATTTATTATTACAGTTTTCTTGTGATAAAGTGCAACAATGAATGTATTTTATGTATGAACCAAACAAGCTCCATTACCTAGCCAAATAAAATCAAAAATCGAATGTTTTCAAACGTTTCTGAGAGACTGTCAATAGTTGAGGAACATTAACCCCATTGAAATAAATCAGTGAAAGACAAATCATTTTTTTACTCTTGTTCTATGATTATTAATTAAAATTCTGAAGATATGTTAAGATAATTGATGCTATTTGTTCAACTGCAGCCAAATAATAAAATCAACAATGTGTTTACTGTGGAATTATTTTCAGATGAAATAACGGTCCGTTTACGGCGTATCGTCGAGGACGACCTATGGAAACCAAGAATGGCTGCAGCATTAGTCTTGATTGTTCTACACAAGGCCAATTATGATAGTAATAAGTTGTTGCTGAACGTGCTTCTGAAGCACCAGTCCTCAAACAAGCTGGCAATGAACGCTAATAGGACCTTACGAGTGGAACAAATTGATTGTTGGATTGCTGCAACCGCTCTTGGTGTCAGTGGCTATTATCATCAAGCGGTGTACAATTATCTGTTCAAACTGTTGTTTTCGAGATCAAAGCAAGTGATTAGTCACAAGAAGCGAACTACTAATTTTAATAATATTGATGAGAAATGCGCAGGTGCGATGCAATCTGATCAGAAAAAGCAGCCCAATGCGTATTTGACACATGTCGCACGTTTTGAACAGTTGCAGCAGGTCAGTCACAACGCATTCCTCACGAAATTGGCTGGCTTCGTTGAAACACACATCATTGTCCAGTTTGTGAAAGAACATGTAAGTAATGCTGATCATTCTATCCTTATACAATAAAAGTCCTTCATGTCCTATTATTCGGGGTTTTTGAATTTTTTCAGTTGCATCATTTTGGTGAAATATCTATAGAAGTATAAGGAGTATGATAATATTTGGTGCTAAGAAATACCTTTCGTGCGTTTCTATAATAGTCACCCAGCCAGTCATTCACTCAGCTAATTTATCTGTCTTTTTCACGCGACGCAACACCAATCGGATTCATAAAAAGTATTGTTGACTATCAATAGAAAATGATTTTAAGCGGACTCGAAAACTTCGGAAGCGGTGCACGGAGCACTGGGATTGGATAACGGAACAGTTTTTCTCCCAAAAAGATGATGCTTGTACACTATCATCCCATCAGTTTTATTTTGTATCTTGGTGTATTTACTCATTTTGATTGTTAATCACGGTGCGATTTCCGTTCACACTGCTCCATTCTTATCAGACTCAGGCTCAAGCGGAAACCGTGACTCGGCTTTCTCATCGCGATTGGAGAGCTCGAATATTGGCCTGTTGGTTATTGAGATTGTCCGGAACCGATCTTCAATCTGTGAGTTTCAAAATACTGTTCTGCTCTTGGAACTGTTCAGCGACTGGACATCAGGAGCGAATCTTACGGTGTGCTTGGTATCCTAACAACATTGTGTGTGGTTCATTCGACAAACCGGGAGATTTTCTTCACGCAAAATCGCTAGTAGTACTATATGATATGATATAATACGATGTATAATCAAAATACCCGTACAGAAGTGTGGTAAACTAACAAACCTGGTCAAAAATTGGCAAATGTTCCATACTTCACTTTTATCAAACATTCATAGTGTGCCAGATTTACCTATTAATTTATTCAGAACAGAATAATACCAGTTAAAAGGGTGATTCGTTCTCCATTTTAGTTGGGATGTTTATGTTCTGACGAAACATTAAAAAGATTGAAACTCCCTTCCTGAATCAGTAGATGCATTGCAGATCCAGAGGAACTCTGTCATTCTCCCAGGCATTCAACTGCTCGTATTTTCCATTGGCCAGGAACGAGCATTATTGTCAATAAAGGAGGTCAATGACAAAACGAATGCAGCGGTTTCGAAGATGACTTTAAACTCGCTTTTGATTACCACTTTTTGGTACATCTGACAACCAACCTTCCGATTTCAATAAATACGCTAAAATGTAACAAATTTACCAGAATAAAGTAGGCTGCGTGGTTGAGTTGGGCTGGTCGTGGTTTGGCTGTATGAAGTGACAACTGCGAACAATGTTGCGAAGTGAACTAAATGCAGTGTGTGAAAGTCTGGAATTTTGAACCACTTCGGTTCAAACATAAAGGAGAAGGAAGTAAATCCGTTTTTTCTCATGGGAAATGTGTAAATTAAAGAACGATATTGTTACACGGGTATAATTGGGCTAACAGATACGCAGGAAAGGGAAATGGAGAAAAACGCTCAAAATAGTTACGAGATTTTCCCATAGGTTCCAAATTGATGAAGGCTATCCTAAAGGTTTCTAGTGCGGATTCCACAGTCAATATCATCTATTTCGCAAGTCGTCAGTATTTTGTTATTACTGAATCCGTTGCAACAGTGATCATTCTCAGACTGGTGTTGAGGATTCGAGTAAATGTAAGCTTTTAATTTCCCTAGTCTTTTGCGAAATTTTACCATCATTGCGTAACCCTCATTTTGCCTCATACCTTCAAAGTTTCACTATCTATTAAATTCCAATTAACTGATAATAATTATCGTTATTTCAATTTAATTTATGCTAATGTTTGTCTGCGAACTAAGAGATGCGTTTAATGTAAGCAGATGAAAGTGATGAAAAATCTGCATAGTACGCAGACAATCTGACTTGCATTACGCTTTAAATCCAATACTTATCCTACACTTGGGTTTCTCTAGATGAGTCTTTGAATCCCTCATGAAGAAATAGAGAAATTCCGTTTTGAAAAAAATAGGTCATGATGAGAAAAAGTTATATCGGTTTTGTGATCAGCCCCACAGCTGTAGCATAAAATCATTCAAATTTCTCACCCCGAATACGGCGAGAAAAAGTTAAATCAAGTAATCGGCATTCAACAGCAGCGATCCAGCGAGGTGACAACGTTTTCTTCTGTTTCCGTTTGTTGTTTGCGCAGCCGAGGTGAAGTGTGAGGTGAATCTGAACGGAATCCGATGAAGTCCATTGTGAGAATGAGTGACATTTGTTTTAAGGCCATTGTACTGACTGTGTCACGTGATGCTGTTCAGACGTTTCATTCATTGCTCATACTTGCTGTTTCATCGCGAGCAAGCTTATTTGACTCAAGTTCAACAGATGATCTGAGAACAAAGCGTGCTAAACTGATTGCTGAAAGCAGGAAAATATGCCTTTCTCTAATATACTACCGAGTAACTCAAAATTTCTTGTAACCGACTGGTTTTGGACCGGCAGCAAGCGGTACCACTTGAATTCAACTACAATGGCTTGCAGTAACATACATCTACCGAGAAGTTGTGTGACTTTTGCACTTAACACAATAATAAGTTTTGCTTTCCATGTGTTTTGGCCTACAACCAACTGATTTGTGTTCACACATGCTTGTGACCAAATTGATTGATCGATCGATCGGGTGATCGATTGACTAACTGTTTGAATGCTGTTTTGACGGCATTCACATGTAGTGCAACGCGTCAGTCGGTGTCGGCCTGCCTGCCTGACTTCCTACACGCTGATCGTCCCTGCTTGTTCCCCGGCTACATATTTGCTGTTTACAATAAACTGACTGCCTAATTCGTTGTGTGCTCATTTACCTACTTACTTTGGGACACAGCACCATACAACCTATGTATTTCATAACAATTTCCCTATACAAAGTTTCATTTAGGCACATTATGGGCTTGACAAGGTGAATTGATGTTCGTTTTACCACACTCTGATGCACCATATTGATTAAGGTTTGGTTCAACCCATTTATAATATGCAGTGTGATGCTGCAATGTTTACCTCATATTATAGTTCGCTTGATTGCACAGTATTACTATGCTTTCTACTAATGTATTTTATTTAACAGTGATGTTTGCATGAGCCTCAGGATTGTTAAAACCTCATGAACCTTTGTGTCGGGACTTCAAATGCGATGGAAGGGGTAAGGGTTTAAAACCCCAACCTGAAAGTACGCAGGTTGAGTCCTGACAGGGACAGAAAAAGTACGCACTGCTGACGAGTACCAAACAGAACAAAACAGGTGTTCAGTGTCGTTTGTCGATCACCACAAAGATTTCCATCGCATTCAGATGCATTTACCTCGTGTGGAATTAACGATCTCCCAAGGAGTGTAACCGACATCTAAGATCATCAACAGTACTTGGTGCCGGTGTACAACCGAATCGGTTAAGCATTCACACTCTAAATTTATGAATGTTGTCGAAGCTCCCCGATCAACCTTTCCTAAAGTATTTTCGCGAAGGGCCCGTCCCGACGAATCGCTGCAATGATGCATAGATATTATTTTATATTAAATGTTTATAATCGTGACCAGTTTTAAACGGAGGTCGCCATTTAATGATTTGCTAAAAAATGATGCACACATAACAGAATAGATATACACTGGACGCACCCCATCTTTTTCGCAGGTCTAAGCGCCGGGTAAAGCGAGTTTTCTCGGTACTGGTTCCCTAAGAAGTATCCAAATTGCACAATGTTATTCCACAACTATAGGGATAACTCCTCAAGACAGAATATGGCTGAGATTATCTCCTGAAGTGCAGTGTAGGGACTTCATAAAGAAGAGTATTGGACATTCATACCTGACGATTAGCAAAACAATGAAACTAATTTTGTGCCTCCAGGAAATTTTTTGATTAATCCAAAAACTGTTTATTATAGATTAGAAATGTAAGAGGCATTGATCCAGCCAGTTTTAAAGGATAAAAAGTGTGTGCTTAATAGAATCGCATTGATAAACGCAAGAAGAACAAAACCATTATCGGTCTGCAACAAAAAGATGGGCAACAGTTTCACTACATTATTATGAGTCAGAAAATGCAGAATCTTACGTCAAGATTGATTGTGATACAAGTCACTCAAAAAATATGCTTGGGGCCAGAGCAATACCAGAGGAATTAGGCAATGAAGGCTGATAACACAGTGGAGGGTGTTAATTTTGAATGGCTGGTGTCTCAAAGCGTGTGAAAGTTCCGATGCTATTTTTTTATTATACAGGATTCCCACTGTGTCGTTCAGTATAACGCAGTGCTTCCTTTCCATTAAATGTTTTGTCAAGGGTGAATTGATTTTTTTAGGTAAGACCTGTGCCGTTTACTTACGAATTCTTCATGCCTTCTTATCATATACGGTTACCATAATTGCATGCAATCCCTCCGCTCCATGTCTACAGAACCAGAGTGCGCGTAAACATCTACAGACCATTGCCCTGCTTGATTCACAGCCATTGTTGCGTATGGCAAGCTATGACGCTCTGGCAGGTTGCACAAAATCAAGCAAAGAGTCCGACTATCTTCTCGGAAGTCAGCCGTCGAGAATTGTGTGCACAAACTGCCATCCGACTCTGGGGACAGATGTCGATTTGTCTATCACACAGACAAAGTACACCTCTCTACGGACGGTCGAGGCATTGTACAAGTTAACTGCAGAAGGTAAGGTGATTGAAAAAATGCAGCATTTGTGGATTAGTGAGTGCTCCAAGTGTTTGAAAATATCAAGAAAGCATAAATAAGGTAAAAGTAAAAGAAACGTTTGACGTCAGCTAGAGCAATTTGAAATAGAGACGTAGCAATTGAAGTTAGCACAGAGTTCAACCAGACTGGAATATTTTGGCCGGTAATTATATTCCCGATCAGTCATAGAGTAAACCAACGGAATATCAAAGTGTTCGAACATGGCATCAAATCACAAGCGTAAATGTTCTTATGATCCATGATTGGATTGGTTTTGTCATTATTTTGCTGCTTAATACTATTGTTGTCGGGTATCGGGAAACCCTGTACAGGTTCATCATTGAACAGTGCATAAAGCTGTACCTCATTTCCCGAGTCAACCATTGTCTACGCGTACCATCAGCAATTTGTTGTGCATTTGCAGTGATTTGTTTTCCATTTTCGGTTAATGATTGTTAACCAAAAGAAATGAATGCACGGGGAGGTGAAAAAGGCACCTTGTGGCACATCTAATATTACGTAGTTGAACAAATTAAAATAGTGAAATTCACATAAAAATAGGTGGCGGCTGATTTCGGATTTACACTTCTTTGCTTCACGATATACGTAGGGAATCTTCAAACCAGTTCAAATCCCTTTTGGGACGGTGGCAATGCACCACTGATGAACAGCTCTAATAAAGAGTGTACGGTTGAATCGATGAACTGATGATTGTGCGTAAAGTTGAAGTCCGACAGTCATTTCAAATCAATCAATAACAATTATCCCACACCACCACTACCAAGTAACTGTGAGTCAAATGCAAAGAATCTGCAATGGTCAAAATTAGTCACAATCGAATGGTATGGGTACAGAGTCCAGTTTTTCTTACCTTGAAGAAGGCAACTATACAAACGAAGAGAGCTATAGTTTTCACATTGATCTATTACTATGTTTGACTACGATCAATTTAAATCTTGTTTTCTAAGCTCCTCATTGTTTGAAGCATACAATAAAACTCAATGACGGTGAGTGCACACCTCTTAGATGAAAATGAGAGCATCAGGTGGTAAAACAAATCAAAACCGGAAATGGATAAACTCGTTCAGTTTAATTTCAAGCGACTGACTTACAATTTGTTTCAAAATCCTGGAATATTTAAAAAATCATAATTCAACCATTTACGGAAATTGTGTATTAACGTATAGTTCATTCAATTGCCATAAAATACAATAAATAGAATCTCTGTTTGCATTCCCCAATTTGATGAATGTAATGTGTAACCGTGTAATAGAGCTGCACGTTCAGTCAAAAGATGTAAAGAATGAGCAGTATATATGAAGGTCCACAACGGATCCACAATATTATATGCCATCAGTTTAAAAGCTAGAAAGTTAGGACGTATCGCTTGTTTCAGTTATTGTTCCTTTGTGTTCATAGTTAAAGGACAAGTTCTGAACTGATATTTACAAATGACCATTAATGAATTAAAATGTGGTCATCAAATCGATTTATTTGTTGGTGAATAGTTCCTTTTTGGATTCAGTCTATCAAAGAAAAGGCGCTTACCGATGAACATTTGAAAAAAGGTATACACACAGAGCCATTCCTAGTGAATTGGTTGTGCAAATCGTTGTCTGAACGCGAACCCGGGACGATTATACTGCTCCTTTATCAGCTTCCCACTCCAACCAGTGGCAGATCAATGTAAACACAGGAAAATTAGAAAAAAACAAGAGCCTCTTTATGGCAGATATCTGTCATACGAAAACTTCCCGCACGCAAGCAAAAAGTCGCACAGAGCTAAGAAATCTGATTTCATTCGACTCTCAAAAATGTCACAATGCCATTCATCAAAATCGACGAATATTTATCACAGTTTTCTGTAGGAATGCACCAGGAATAATACAAAATTCGTGAGTAAATGGAAAAACATCTGTCCCAAGATTAAGCTGCATTTAGTATGGTAAAGTAAGTTGTCGTGGTTGTCAAAACTGTATTTTAAGGTTTGTCCAGAGGCAATGAAAATGTTTGATATTTTACTTATTCAGCCCAAGACAGATATTTCCCTACTCATTTGCAAGTGAACATGCAGATCTATTCAAAACTGAAGCAACGGGTCCCTGTGAAACACTTGTCGGTTCTTATAGGCAACAGCATTTAAACTGAAGTAATTTTTTCCAAATAATAATACACAAGCCTTGGTGAGTCTTCATAGACGTGGTTTTTATGATTCGTTTATACTCACCAGGTGGAATGGTTCAGAATGTAACGAATACTCCTATTTCATCAGTAGTGGTTGACCTAGACCATGATGAGTTAAGAGTTAACTAAAGAGAATAGAAGAGTTTTTTATTTACAACAAATTAACATTGATAATATTTAAGATTTAAAGCTTATGTGCTTTAACGAGTCGTTTTTGGGAACAAAGCGATGGGTTAAACAGACGGATGGCTACTACCTCAGCTGCTGCTAAATGTTGTTGGCGAACAGCCTTAAATGGATAAGGAGGAACCCGGTAGAACACTTTGAAAAACCATAACACCTCGCAAGTACGAAAAATACCGTAAATGAGGACGCTTTCAAGGTGATCTACCGGGGTCCTCTTTATTCATCTAAGGCTGTTCGCGAACAACATTTAGCAACAGCTGAAGCAGTAGCCATCACGTCCCTTTACCATCCACCCACCACTCCATTTCTGTTTGTAAACCACATATAAACAACTAATCATATTAACCAATCCAACCCACACACACATTTAAAGCTTATGTACACTAATAGCTGATTGGTCTTTTGGAAAATTCTCACCACATATGACTTTCTTGTGAGCCTTCCAAGGCTCGTCGCACACCATGCACTCGTCGTGCGAAATAAACCGATCGTCAACATGAAGCACGACGAGTTTTGATTTCTCGGGCAAAATCAATACACCTGTCTTTACTGCGCGTTCAATGCTGGCCTGACTTTACCTGAAACTTGACGCATCTCAAATTTTTTCATTCTTCTTTGCAGAGGGAAGTATGAATGGTGGGGAAGATCTTCCCGTTGGATAGACGACAACGATTTTCTGCAAGGTTTTTTCAGAGTAATACGAATCAGGTCGTCCTCCTGCTTGGATGTACTCCGTTTAAAGGCCCCTCACACGCTTTTCTGGTTGTTCTTTTCCCATGGATTATCCTGTAAATTGTGGTTTTGTTAACGTTAAAACATTGGGCAAAACTTGATATCGAAAATCCCAGCCTGTTTGCTCGTGCAATTCTGTTTCTGTCCTCTTCACTGAGATAACGGAAACTTTTGGTTTTGAGCACCGCTTGCTTCATGTAGTAACAACAATACGAACATTCAAAGCTGTGCACAATAGAGTTGCTATAATGGATTATATGTTAGATAACATACTGCCTCATTACAAATAAGCGAGATGGCAAGGGTTTATGGAAATTGGGATAATTCTTGAGTCATTCGTATTGGAAAATATTGCGTTGTCTTACTTGATAAAGTTTGTGGTTTTCATGTTCTGATCATTTAATCTTGGCACCCAAGGTCAGGCACGTTTAACTGACACATGCAGTCTAGAAACTATGTAAATCGAAGTGGACAAGATACCAATTATTTTCCATATCAAAAGCATTAATAAAAGTTATAAATATAATGAAACTCCATTTGATCACAAAGAAAATATTTTAGTGCATCACCATCGGCCAGTACTGTATTTGTCAGCTGCTTAGTTTCAGTTATCGGGATGATACTTGTTCCAGTGTTATTGGCTGCCAACTTCATTGATCCATTCTTTAATGTACAAAATAAGCAGTTATTTCGTGTGTTGACTTGCGTAAACCCAACTTATTCCACATCTTTTGCAATTAAAGTTGTCAGAATATCATTTCAGGATGTCCGGGAATCATTTCAAGTTGTTTGGGCATCATTTCAAGATATTTGAGTATCATTTCCAGTTGTCTGAGGGTCACTTCACCCTGTCTCGTTGTACTTATCGGTTCTGTTAAGCCTCTCAGTGATGTCTGGATGAACACCATGGCGGACAGATTTCTCTACCTTCCGTTGAATCGCGCGGCGGGCGATTCTGAGACGTGCCTCGGTCACAGGCCTCAATTCCCATGATGCTGCAGTGGAATTTATAAAATACACCTCAAGCGGTTGCACTTGGGACAACAATCGATCATGCTCGATCGATATATGCATCAGTGTTAATCAGATTCACATCGAGTTATTTTCCAGACTTTCAGGTTATATCCATCTCTATGACACCATCACACAACAAGCATCTTCAAGTACTGTACAATCCAAATGACCATTTTGGCCACATATCCAAAACGGAATGAGATATCTCTGTCAAATCAACTTCACCAGAAATAATGTAATGAGGGCTGTCGAAATATGCCATAAATTTTGTAACTATTACGGAATTTTATAAGAAAATACAAGTTCAAAAATTGGAATGCCTTCAAAATGCACCTTTCTGAGTATAGGCTTTGAATTCGCTACTTTCTATAGCTGAAATCATATAAAATCTTGGACCCCAAAGAAGAGAAGATTTTCGGACCTTTGTCGACTTCTTGATTAATTATACAGAGAAAAGATTAAACAAGCTCTAACTTATGGCTGCTACCCGCAAATAGCTAGAAGTGCTCGGTAATAATGCATGGTTCACGGAATCCAGTTGTTAAATAATATCTCACCACAGTGAGAACCCTTATTAATGCAAAACATCAACTCGTAACACACGTCTTCCAAAGATTTACAGGTCAGCAAAAGTGGCCATGAGGGTCTGCCAGGAGTGTGGGAGCGCTTCTGATGATCCGGAACACCTCGGGCCGTGTGAAACACGAGCATTACAGGGGTTTTTTAGGGCGTTTTTCGATTTCTTTTTTGGGATTCTGTGCAGCTAACCCCCTGATCTATGTTTGATGGGAGATCAAGCAGCTTATAAAGTTAGAACTTCACTGTTTTGCGTAAAGGTATAGTTGCTTTCCCCACATTGTTGTTCTCTTTAGCTCGGAAGCCGGAGAACAAAATCACGATTCTGGCGGCAGCGCTATGCAATCCGTCGTCCCTCATACGAAAGACAGCTTGCCACTTGGCTGAGCTATCATCGGATGTGGCCAACCAATTCTTTATCAGAAGACTACTGGGTGTGATCAAACAGGATCAAAATATAGAAGTGAAAACTTCGGCTATTCTGGGTATGTAATCAGCCTGATTAGAGCGATCCGTACGCAGGGAAATTTTATTTGCCCATTTGTCTATTACTTACTACGATATATATATA